GCAGCTCGGGGTGTGTGCACGCCGGCCTGCGTGGGGGAGCCCACCTGTGCAGACCTGGCCCCAGGGGCCGCTAGACCCACAGGCCCTTTGTCTGGGCCCCGTGCCGCGGAGCCCCATGGCCTGGCACGCGGGAGGGGCCGCCCCCGGCCGGAGAGGGGGCCCTGGCTGCTCTCGGCGGCGGTGCCGTCGTGTGCAGTCTTGGGGGGGTCGCGGGCCCTCTCCGCAGCTCGGGGTGTGTGCACGTCGGCCTGCGTGGGGGAGCCCACCTGTGCAGACCTGGCCCCAGGGGCCGCTAGACCCACAGGCCCTTTGTCTGGGCCCCGTGTCTGGGTGCCCCTGGGCCTGGGTCCCCCTTGCGTGCAGCCTTGGCCAGCGCCTCCCCCTTGGCCAGGGAGGATGCCCTGGCCTGGCGGGAGTCACTGCTGCGGCCAGGCCAGAGAAAAGGCGGGGCCCCTCTGCGGCTGCCCCACGCTGCTCGCGTCCCCGGCCGCACCTGGCAGGCCCACCCTGCCTCCGACCGTCTGCCCCCCGCAACCCCGGCCTGGGGCTTGTCTGCTGAGCTGACTCGCGTCCCCAGGCCCTGCCGGCCGTCTGCCACCCCGTGTCCCCTGGATAAGGCTGTCTGCTGAAGGAGGTGGGGCCAGGGCCAGAGGGCCGGCCCTCCCTGCCCGCGCCTGGCCTCTGCCCAACTGCCCACCGCCACCTCTCATGCCAGGCCTCTGGGTGCGGGGTTCTCGCGGGCCTGCTGCTGCCCTCCCCGGGAGGGGTCCTGTCAACACCCCCATTTTACACCTGAGGCTCGGGCGTAGGGGGCTTGGCTGACTCATCTGGCTTCACAGTCATGGGGTCCCCTTGGGGCTGTCTGGATCGCGGGGCGGGCGGAGAGGTGGGAGCCGGGCTGGAGGAGCCTGGCGGGACCCCCACAGCATCTGCGGCCCTGGCCCTGGGGTGGGGCCGCCCGCCTTCCCTGGGCCTGGCGGGCACGCACTGGCACGAGCCCTTCATGGGCACCTGCTGGCGTGAGACAGGTCTCAGCGCCCACATGGACACGGGGAGGCCCTGAGGCCGCTCCTGTCCCCAGGTAGACCCCTGTCCTCCGCTGGCCAGGCCTCCTGCCCGGCGGTGGGGCGGGGCCTCTCGGCTGGGGTCCGGGCCGTGCCCTGCTCCGCTCTCTGGCAGGGGTGGCCGGTCCCTCCGGAGTCCGG